CGGGGGGAGGGTTGTTTTCGGCACCTTGGTTGTGTTCCTGAGCGAGCGAGGCCGGGCAGGCTGGACTCTCAGCAGTGCTGGGCTGAGGCGTTCGTCTTCGTCCAGATGGAATCGGTGTAGCGTCCATTTCTCTTGGCAGAAAGTGACGCGGTACGGCCGTTTTTAAAATTTAGACTTTATATATGTATATATTGGACATGAAGTGGAACCTGGAACTGTTCATCCAGGCTGCTGTGGAAGTGGGCAGCCGTGTGTTCCTGCTCACGCACTGGTGCTGCAGGAGCAGTCTGAGGAGCCTGCCTTCAGGGGATATTTTTATCAAAAAATCAGGAGATCCGCAGTATAGGCTAGATCTATTGTATTCAAATTTATTTATTTATTTTTAGCGTCTTAGTGCTGAGCGAGCTTATACAAGCTTAATAATGCTTCCTATGGCTCTACATGTAAGTGTTTCCACTGCTGTCATTGTTGAATTCATGCGACGTTTCCAAGTGTGCAGTGCTGGCCCATTACATCATGGCAAACTTTTGAATACATGAACGTGTGGGTAGCAATGACTCTTTTAGTTTGTTTGTTTCAATTGCTGAATTTCTTGGTTGTCAAACTAATTTAAATACTACCTGGAGAAGGTCCTCAACAGAGCCATATGAGCTATGATATAATTCTAATTCTCACAAATTTTAATAACGTATCAGGACAACTATTAGATAATTTTGTACCCTCACCACTTAATGCTGCAGTGCTGTTTTTAAAAACAGTTTAGTACCCCATAATTTCCCAGAAATTTTCTTTTTTTTCTTTTGTTTTCCATTGTTAATAAATTTTATAAAGTGTAACTGTATCATCCAGCTACTAAAAGGAATTTACTGCAATATTCCTTCAAGTCCTAGTATCTGGGTTTCAGGGTAGCATTAGTATTATTTTGTCTTTTCCCAGGCTTTTATGCCTGCCTTTACTATTACCTGTGCAAAAGATATGCAACAAAAGCATGGAAAAAGAAGATTTTTATCAAACTTGCTGAAGCAGATTAAATACAAGAACCAGAAGTTTTCAGTTTCACTATTGCTACAAAGATATAGATATTGACAATCTGCAGGCTTGGGAAAACCACCAGTTTTATCAAGTAATAATATAATTGTACAGGTTATAAACGGTTCTTTTTAAAGGGGTATATTGTATTCTACAGAGCTTGCTACTTTTTCTGCCTCCTCATTTGAGAGGAACTCTTCCATACTTTGTGCTGACACATTTTATTTTACAGTTTGTTTATTTCATGTTCTTATCTTGCAGTTGAAATGATGTTGTAACATATTTAAAGATGCTTAGAAATCAGAGGGAATTCAAACACATATGAAACAAAGAACTACTACAGACACTACTTGAAATTGGCATATTTTAATTATTTTCAGTAAAACAATTTAATTTTACTACATCTTCACAAAACCTGAAGTCACTAGTTTGTGAATAACTTTTCAAATTTGGAAAGGATTTGTGTTATTATGATGTGCATTCATTTATTTAAATTTTTATTCTTTTGCCAGTGCAGCAGTAAATGTTTAAAATATTTCTGTGCTTCACTGTAGTTATTACATATTTTTTAATATTGAAAAGTGTCATTTGTTAGCAATAGCCAAATTAGTATCAAAACCAGTAATATAACAATCCTTTCCAATCAAAATCCTATGAGAATATGAAATATTTCTGGTAAAAATAGCTCAAATTAATTGATTCAATTAAGTTTGGTTGATATGGCTTGCAACCCAGTGAAGGTGAGAGCTCACAAAGAAGATATTATTTTGAACTACTGTCTGTTAACAGTCTCTGATAATTTAATGAACTATTTTTGTCAAAGCCTCAATTTAGCAGATTTTTACTTAATAGTTAAATCAGGCTTTGTATTTTTAATCTTTTCTTACAGTGATGATATGTAAGTCCTCATGCAGATGTGGATAGTTCCTTATAGTTACAGCTTTGGAAGGAACAGTTTGTTTCCACTAAAATGTTGGGAGGCAATGTAGCCATGGGAAGTAATGTACAAGTTCCATAAACCAACTGCACGTGGAAGTAGATGGTTATGTTTGTGTAACTGTGCAACTGTGATTTAAATTGCAATAATTTTTAGCATTTTTTTAAATGAGTAACACAAAACTCTGTGTCTCTCTCTACTTTTTTTCCCTAAAGTTTGATGCCTTCCATTTTCCAATAAGTGGTGCTGGGATTTTGAGGTGGTTGGTTGTTTTCTTTTGTTTTAATCTAGTCTTCCATAAAATTCATAGATCAAAGATACATATAGATACAGAATCACCAAAAAAGTAGAGATAGGCCTTGGAAATGAGGGTCATAGCTTAAAAACAGAATATTAACACATAATTGAGCAGCTATCAGGAAATGTCTTTTTAAAATAGTGATTTTGCTAATATGCCTAAGAGCTGTTGCAGTGACATTGACCCTTAGGTGAACTGACTGGTTTCATGCCGAGCCTTGTTCCCCAGCATAAGGGCTATTAGTTTGCAGTCTTGGGGTTTATTCTATATTAATAGTTTTTATTCTTTAAGATTGCATTTTAATGACATTTCCCAAACAACAAGCTAAATAAATTTGACAGAATACTTCCATTCATCTGAAAACTGAGAAGAGCAGAATCTGACAATGAAAAGTAACCAATACATATAGCAGTCAAATTTTCTGCCTATTTGCTTTTTGATTAGAGTCTTCTTGCTGTCTTGGAAATTAGCCTATAGACCACAAATGCCTATATATCCACAAAAGGTTTGGATTTGGTTTGAAGTTATTCAAGAAATTTGGGAGACCTTTTTGTGCATCTTGCAAAACAGTGGAAGAACCTGCCCTAAAGAGCTCCTTATAAGTCTTTCATATTCAAGAATGTTTCCCTCATTCATAATTCGGAAGGTCTTTTTAAGGCTGGAGAATGCTACTGTTTCCACTTTTTTTTTTTTTTTTTTTTTTTTTTTTTTTTTTTTACTAGATTCATGACAGAGAAGAATATATAAGGATTTGAAAGCATTAGAGTTCACTAAGGTTATTTAGAAATACTGATATTGGAATCTCCCCAGTGGCAGTTACTGTATGGGAAAAAAAAACACCCAACAAACATCCCTATTGTTGCAGTGACACAATGGGAAATGATTGGATAAAGGACATTTTTTTTAAAGAGTCCTGAAGCAACAGGTATCAGAGCTATATTACACCTCTGCTCCTACAGTCCACGAAAAAGTTAATTTTAGAAAATTTTAAGATTGTTTTCAAGCCACTTTACTTTCTCTTGCCCTTTTGTTACAATTTCTCTGTTAAACACTGAAGCGTAGGTAGACTGTTGCTCTAGAGTGCAGTGCTGCTGTAGTAGCACAGTGAAGAGATGAGGTTGGGAACAACAAAGGGAAACAAGAAAGCTGCTCTAACTCTACCTACTTGGACATTTTTTCTTCATAGCTCTTGTGTACTTTAGACCTGACCTTTTCTTTCTTGACTTTCAATCCCCAAGTGGTTCCACATAACTCTGCAAGAGCATGGGCTTTCTTTTCTGAGGGGCTATACACTGGAGACAACATCTTAGGCATCTTTCATGACTGAGTAAAATTGGTTACAGTGTAACTTTTTTTCAAAGGCATCACTTCTACATACCTTAAGTCCTCTTTTCAATCTGCATGGTAAGCATAATGAAGTGTGAATATCATGCAAAATGCATTTGTGACTTCTAATTTAGGCTTAGAGATATGTTTGCCTCTCTGTAGTACTGGAGAAAAAAGAAAAAGAACAAAACCAAAAACAACACAGGAGTTTTGTTTTTTTTTAAATACAAAAAAATTTTTTCTAGTCAATAGAATTTTGCCTTGTACCACTGTTGTCTTCCTGGTCTATGGAAACAAGGTGTACATATTGCACTTCCTGTCAGTTCTCCTAAATGCCAATTTCAGACAAACTTGACATAACTGTAAAGGTTGTTTAAGTTTTTGGTGAAAGTGTAGAGTGGAGAGATGAAAATAAACATTTCTATGGAGAGCATGAGGCAGTAATATGAACACTTAAAAAGACCACCATTAATGATGATGAGCTGTTAAACTGTCTTTTTGTAGTCAGATCCTACTATTTAAAAAATTGTTGTATCCTTAAAAACTAGATACCATTTTTTTCTTCAATTTAATTGCAGAACGCTTTAAAATAAAAAAATACATATCTGTGATTTTTAAAACTGTATGTGAATTGCTCTTAAGTGTTTTTACTTGAATATATCTTCATTTCTGAATGTGTATCCCATACAACACTAACCAGTGAACTTTTATGTAGGATAGTGAAGAGAGGACAAATAGGCATAGCTATATATTATACACTACTTTGTTTTGCAGTTTATGGATGATCATGGCATGATCATGTCTCAGAGTTTTTAAGATGATATTCCTATATATACTCCATTGCATTACACTGCTAACTCACTGTCTCTCTTGTGTATGTACCTGTGAGTGATATGCTGCACCTTTTTTTTTTTTTTTTTTTTTTCCACATCTGCACAGTGTGAGAGGAGTCTTCTTATTACATTTAATACTGATTTGGTCATGGCATTACTATATGCATTTGTATTTCAAAATTAAGTTTTTTTCTAAATAATTTCACAGCTTTCACATAGCTTTGAGGAAACAGTCATTACTGCCATTAGACTAATCAATAGCCATGATACTGACTAGGTAGAAATTTACTGGTGGGCATGTATGTCTCTCACTTACTCAAAATTGTTTAAAAATGTGGGAGTTCCTAACTGAGTCATAACCTGGCACTGCAGAAGAAGCTTCCTCTCCCACCCTTCTCGTTCCTAATTCCTGTCCTGCCAAAAGCACTACAACAAAAGAAGCCTGCAGTAAAGATAGGATGGGGAGTCTTTATTCAGAAGTTTACTTAGTATAACATAATTGAGTTGACATTCTTGAAATATATATGTCAATTTACTTTGAGCATAATTAGTTTCATTTACTAAATGAGCATCAGGAGGCTGTGCTGACTCCACTAAGGATACGATTAAGTTACTTTTACAATACAGAGCATTTGAAAATAGTACTGCTGGTTTAAGGAGACTCATTCCTGCCAATGCCTATAAAATATACTGCTTCTGCTGCTGTGCTGTAGAACTGTTTGTATTGAGATGCTGTGAAGCATATTTATTGTGAGTGTATTGATATTTAAGAGCCACTCCATCCCTCCTTCTCTCAAGTACTGAAAATCTAGATCAGTTCATAGTGAGCCCCATAAAAAGTAGAGCTGGCACAACTGAGGGACCAGTGTGCTCAGGTGCAGGAGCTGGGATGAGCACACAGAGTGAGAACTTCCTAAGCTGGTACTCTTGAAGTTTGGATGTTGTGAAAACTCTCACCTCAGGCTCTAGCATGGCTCCATTAATACAAATAAGGATTGTTGCAAAAAAACATAGTAAATGCCTCAAAATAAATGCTACTTTCAAAGTTAAGGACATATGAAGCTTGCCTTGAAACTGAAAACTGAAGAACAAGAAACAGAAAGGAATGGATTAGAATTAAAATGGAGAAAGCAAGAGAAAAATTTTTTTAATGTTTCTTGAGGTTTAAACCATCTTCTGAATAAGAATGAAATTACATTAGTGCAGTTATAACTAAACACAGCTAACATTGGCCAGTTGACTAGTTACATCTCGACTGCTTTTTACAGGGGCTTGATTCAGCCTTTCCAATTTCAAATGTTAGATCATGTAAATTGATAGCTTTTCTCTCATAATAATGAAGTAATATGATGCTGGATAGGGATTGCCCCCGTTCACAGGGAAATCAGCCTGTCCAAGGTAACGCACAGAGTTAACTGCATAAAAATTCATTGTTTTGTAATGTTTGGATTATTCTTTCATTAGGATGAAATCACAGTATTCTCATAATAGGATAAAGTTTATACTTCAGATTCTTGGGCATGGATTTTGGGAATAAAAGGAGCATTGAGCAAAATATCAAGCAAAAATGGTGATGTTTAGGATTACAAAGAGAAGTTTATATTGAATGCTTTTGAATGCTTGTTTTTCTACAGATTCATTAAAATAATTTAGAGAAGAGGAAAATAATTTGCTCACTTCTACATAGAAGGTGTGGGGATTTTTGTTTTCTTTTTGTTTTTAAAGCTTTATGGCTAAGACCAACAATGATGATTGTATTTCCTGGCTATTTCTCAGTGGGGTACGGGTCTGTGTTGCTCTGACTGAACCTGAAGTCGTCAAGGTCAAGTCTGGTTCTTTGCTCATTTGGTTTATACAAACTGCTGTCCTGCTGTAGAGGACCAATAGCTGTCCATGTAATTTATGATTGTCCTGTACTTTTTCACTAGGTTTTCAGTCAAGACTCTGATTGATCGTTCCTGTTTTGAGACTATAGATGATACTTCCCCTGAATTTAATAATTTTGCAGCCATTCTGGAACAGATTCTAAGTCATCGACTGAAAGGTATGTTAATTAACTTCCTTCCTGGTGATATTTTTGCCATGAGAATTTGTTTATATTAAACCAGTGTCCATCTGTAGAAACTCCTTGATACGAATGAAAGTGTTGGCTTTCTCTGTGTGCTTGTCCCTTTGCTGTTGCCTTACTGATGGTTTGCAGCACTGTGGAAAAGTCAAGGAAACTGTTTTTGTGCAACATGTTTCCAGTGTTCTTGTTGGAAGCCTTCTGGGCTGGTAATTAAGCAAATGGTTGTTGCCATGGTGCTGAGCTCTGTCTGCTTTTCTGCTTTGTGATAAGGCTGTGTCCTGAGAGTGTGAGTCTGAAAGACAATTGTAGTGTTTTCTGTTTTAACAGAAGCTGTAGAGAGCGTGTCTGTGGTGCTGCTTCCTTTTCTTTCTCCCTTCCCTGCTTCAGTTTCCTTCTTTTCCAGATACTGTGTTTAGGTTCTTTCATTCCTGTCCCTCCAAACCCCTTATGAAGCTGGGGTTTTTTTTTTGCTACGGGAGGGTAATGGATCTGGATAAAATTGCTTTTGAGAAAGGTCAGTTGATTTTCCGCTTGCGTCGGAGTCAGATATTGTTCTAATTCAAGAAAATGTCTGTTTGTGTTTTCTGATTGTTCCAGAGGAAGCTGCTTTTCTAAAAGAACAGAGCGTGCCTTAGCAATAACAGTCACTAGAAAAGGACTTTGGAAGCTTCTCCTCATTTCTCGCTTCTGTGTACAGTTTCTGAAATGATTTGAGGATTATGAAGGACATCATAATCATCTAAATATAGATGTGTAATATGATAATCGACTCCTTTTCATACTTTGCTTTTTAATATTCATAACTAAGCTTTGTGAACAGTATTGTGTGTAGGATGACATTTGAGTAGCACAATTACTACCTGCTGTCATTCTGTCAGAGAAGGAAAAAAAAAAAAGTCAGCAGTGGGGTAGGAACATAGTGTTTGTCACATTGTGACAAAGATTATTGGAGTGATTAGGGGTACTTAGCAACTTGACACTGCAGGGAAATTGCTCTGTTTTCTCCTTCTCCCCCAGCTTCAGTGTTCTTTGAGCAAAAATCGTTACAATTTATTTATTTTTCTCCAAAATTCTTTTGCTTCACAGTCTATTATTCAGGACAGTCAGTACAGAGAAGCAGCCTTGACAGGTTGGCAAATGGGTTACAGGCAAGTGGAATTTGCAAGTAAAAAATTATTTCAAATACAAAATAGAAAATAAAAAGGTAAATTGTTGCTTCAGCCTTCCCCTTGTAATTACCAGTGTGATTTTCTAAGTTTTCAGAGTTAAATAAAAATACGGAAAAAGGCAGCAGCTTGTGCATTGCATTGCAAATGGGGAATATTTTGGTGATAAACTAGGTCACTGTGAGTAATTATTTTATTCTTTAAAAATTTGAAAGGGAAATTGGGATAATAAATGTACCATGACAATTCAAATTTTAAGAAGGTATATATTATGCAACACAGGGCTTGAAGGAAATTGCATTTTGTTGTTGGAAATTAATATATTCTGAATTCATATTTTTTGTGAGTAGGAGCACACTGAAAGCAAATTGGTGATTGCAGTGGGTTGTAGAAAATGTTTTCAAGCAGAGAGAACATACATCATCTGTCTGTGGTAAGATAAATGGCTTCATTGTATCGAAGTTGTCAGGGTAATCCCATGGCAGCATAGTTAAATGGATGATCCAGATTTGAGAGTCTGAGTATATAGACCTTTAGTTTCTTAAGGCCATGGCAAATAACAAGGCTTAATCTTTAACTTCCTTTGGAAGTACTGGGTGAGGAAGGAAGAATTAAACTAAATAATATATTTAATTTGCATTGTAAAGGACTAAGTTTACTTTTATTAGAATACTTTTACTGGCAACTGTCTCTTCTGACACTAAATATAAATATGTTTTAAGGAGCAAAGCACGGGCTTTATGGAATAAAGTAACTGTTGCTGCTTATTGGTTTCATGTTCAGATAGGATCCAGACAAAACAAAATGGGAGGAAGGACAGCTATTTTAAGGGGAAAAAATGTTCAGGAATTAGAAGTTTATGCTTTTCCTGAAACCATTGCAATTAAGAATTCTGAAATAATAGTTCTCCAAACCACATCCTTCTGGCTGTTCTGCCAGCTCCAAAGAACAAAAGGGTCATGAAACATTTGTAGTGATTTGGGTGGTTTTGTTGGTTTGTTTTTTCTTTTCAGAATCATTGAAGAATTTACTTTGAAAAGTACCTTAGAAAGTCATCTGGTCCAACCTCTTGCTCAAAGCAGGACTGTCTTAGATTGCTCATGGTGTTTTCCATTTTGCAACAGAATTATTTTTATTTTCCCCTACTCTCACTTTGTGTTTACCTTTCTCAGATTTTGGCCATGCTCCTGTGGTGAGACAGACCAGGAAGTCAAACAGGCAGAAAAATAATTACTTTCCCCATGGATGCACTTGCTTAGCCTGGCTGCTCATTTTCTTAAGAGTGGTTTAGATGTGGGTGTTTGCTTAGTAATAAAATGAGGTTGGCATAAATGTATCAGCTCACACAGCAGGGACCTGTGAACGCTACTTGAATGCAAGTATATTTATGTGATAGAGAAGACTTAGCACATATGGCATCAAAGTAGTTCCAAAAAAGGTAACATAATACACCATAGCCAAAAGGCCACATCTGTGCTACCTTTCAGTTACCTGTACACCAATGCCAATAAGTAGCAGTCAGGAATAGGCAGCTGCAGTTAGAAAAAGCAATCAGGTTCTCACCCTATTTTTTGAATTGCCCTAAGGAAGAGAGAGAGAGTTTGAGTAAGCTGTATTAAATGTCTTTTCAGGGATTGCAAGCTGTTGACTGCCTTCTACTCTAGAAAGTGGAGAGATACTTATCCCTATAGTGTGTAATACTGTGTGTGCAGTATGCCTGGTATTCACTAGAAGTGCTGGATTTATTGTGAATGCAGAGTAGACCAGATATTGTAATGAGGAGGATATAAAGTATGTGTTCTTCCAGTCATTAAAATAACCTGTGTGGAATGCCTGCTGGCAAGATATGATACTACTGGACAGGACAATTGAAGATCTTGAAAAGGTAGGAGAGAAGGAGTAATAGAAAGAAGATAAGTGAATAATTACTCTCTTATTCCTTCTCAGGAATAAGAATTTGCATGGTTTTATAATACAGCAGAGAGTAAGTGGTATTCTGAGTGGATACAGAGACAAGGTATCTATTTGAAGGTCTTTGGATCAAATGAGACCTGTAGTCCTGAAAGGGATTTTACAAATTTGTATACAAATATATGTGTGTTTGATAATCTTTAAAGCAAGCTGGGTAATTTCAGGAGCCATTTTTTGTCCTCATATAGTTGTTTGGAATTTATCCCTTTCTTAACCATTCTTTACTGTGGAGATAAAGCTGTATCTTGTAGTTGTCTTGGTGGTTTCTTGTTTTCACTGCTGGCCACAGTTTTTTCTGGTTTTATTTCCTGTAAGTGTCCTTTTTATCCAATCAGTCAAGTAAACAGTGCAGAAACAGTAGGGGCATCAAAAAGTGTTCGGTAACAGTACTTAGGATTTGACCACTGGTATATCCCAGCTGATTTAAAACCTGAAGTAAATTCAAAGTGATGTATATATTGTCTTTACTATATCACAATGTTGTATGGTTTACTGCCTTTTTCTATCAGTTCAAAATAGTTTTAACTGAGATACTACTGAAGAACATTAATAACTTTTGCAGATTTTTTATGGCCGTGATCTCAAACGTATTTCTGAAAACTATTGTCATGTGTAGGTATTTGTTGACTTACTGTGTTTTAATTGTAATATCCTTTACAGCAAACTGTGTTTATATACAAACTGCTAAGCAGTATGCATGCTTAGAAATAATTCTGGTGTATAAATTAAATTCTGTCACTGACAACGTATATAGCGCATCTTGCTTGTGACTTCTGTAATACTTGTATCTCATGGTTACTGTGAGTGTACTTGTCGTCTAGACACTTATTTGTGTTTACCACCATGACATAAAACAGTATGCTGTACTGTGCTATTTTGACACTTTCACAACGTTGTGTGCCTTTTTTCCTGTACGTGCATTTAGAATGTATTCTAAACACAACAAAAGCTTCTGCTAGAGTTCCCCATGGAAGCTGTTTGTCTCTATCTATGTTATTCTTAGTTTTTAGTGACTGTGGAGTTCGTTTGCTTGCTTTTTTTTTTTCTTTTAGAAAACTTACTCTGAGTAGTGGTCAGTGCTGCTTGAGTAGAAAGATGAATGTAATAATTCTCTCCCTTTTCTCATTCTATAAAATGTTCTAGTTTCATGCATCATCAATAGTCTGGTGGTAGTAATGGTAAATGGCGGTGGTAGTAATGGTAAATGGCTGTGCTAGTGTGATGGGTTTGCCCTTGGCTGAGAGCCAACCCCACACAGACCACTCTTTTACTCCCTGTCTCCTGGGCATGGGGGAGAGAATCAAAGGGGTAAAGGGAAAAAAAGACTTGTGGGTTGAGATAAGAACAATTTAATAACTAAACTATAATAATATTGAAAATAATACTATATACAAATGAGTGATACACAGTGATACTGTTCACCACCCGATTACCAAGGCTCAGCCTGTTCCCGGCTAACGATCCCGGAGCAGGGAGAGTCCCGAAACCACACTCCTGGAATGGAGATAACAGCCGAAGTGTCCCAGACCGAGAGCTGACTGAGGGAGGGAGAAGGCCCTGGGAGAGGGATGACCCCAAGAGAGCTGACATTGAGCAAAAGGGATCCAGAACCAAAAAAGGGGTCTGGAACAAAATGAGACCGGCTTCTGGAGGGTCCTCACCTATATGCTGGGCATGACGTGTATGTTATGGAATAGATTATTGGCCACTGTGGGTCTCAGTCCCGAACCTAAGATTGAATACTAGGCTAGCAACTGGGGCTGTGCTCCCTCACAGCTTCTCCTGCACCTGCGGACAGCAGAGAAACTGAAAGACCTTGGGCTGTCCTGGCAACAACTATAAGTATCACTGTTATCAGCTTGCTTTCTAGCACAAATCCAAAACACAGCCTCTTGCTAGCTACTATAAAGAAAATTAACTCTGTTTCAGCTGAACCCAGGACAGCTAGTAATGTCACTGGTAAATGATGTTCAGTTTTTGCACTTCTTCATAGTAAGGTGAATTATTAAATAATTCATTTCTGAAGCAGTGAAAGAATTTTCTTATATCTGCAGTGCACAATTTATCCCTTCCCATATGGTTTTATGTTATTTATTTGTTCTGAGGAGGAAAAAAAAACACTTACTGCTGCCTGCTATTTCATGGAGTCTCTTTTTAAGAAATAAATATTAATATAATTCATATTAATCATAATTCCCAGAATTCTAATATTTCAGGCATAAACAGTGGTTACAAAGGGAAAGGGTATGAATTATGTCTGCAGAAGACAATTTGTGCTTGTAGGTCTAGGTCACAAGTGAGGAGGCAGGGTTCTTTGAGTAAGATGCAGCTTGTCATGCTGTTTATCCTGAGAGAGACAAGTCTGCTGGATAAAATAGTTAAGGTAATGGAGACATTATAAGAGTGAGAAAGGTAGGATGAGGAAATAAGAGCTGAGGGCACTACTGTCATGAAAAAGACAAAGTCTAAGCTTATAGCTGTGGTGCCCCTTTATTTGGTGCAATAATGCTATTAGCAGAATAGCTTTTGTTACTAGATTTAATATTTATACACACATAGTGACCCTGTTACTGGTTTTGGCTAAAAATAAATAGTAGGGCTTTTGTGTGATTTGTGGTTTAGCTCATTCTCCTTTTTCTTGTATGGACAAAAAACTTGTATGAATTCATAATTGTCTTGGAGGACTGGGTTTATGAACTACTTTAAGTTTTTATTTTTTAATGACCTATTCTGTAGGCCCACGATAAGAGTAGGTATCACAGAAATTCATAGAGCATCCTAGTTGTTACTACTTTGCAGCTGTGGAACTTTGTAGAGATGAAACTGGACTGTGATTGAGTAGGAATCGAACTGTTTAATGTGTTATTTGTGAAGAAATTTTTGGGCGTGAAAAAAGATCTGCAACAACTAGTGTTGCAGATGTTTGTATCTTGTCAGACTGAAGCAGGAACAAATAGGTGTGTAGCAGTATTCAAAAATGTGTTGGAAACAAAATTGACAATATTGTTTCTATTTGCTTTGTAGTTTTGTAGACAAGAATTGAATTAACTTGAACAATGTTTAATATTAAACATGCAACTTCATGCTTACCTAACCATTTTGTTTGTCTGACAAAAACAATAACATCATTCCTGTTGGAATAACTGTCAGCTTCTGTGTCTCCTGATGACACAAACTTCATGGCAAAGACCACATACTCTTCATCCTTTGGACCTCTGGGGAAACTTACTCTTCCCTTAAGAAGTTCTCTGACAGAATAGCACTTGTATAATAAAATTAGCTTTCAAGTTTATTATGACCCGTTAAAATTTAAATATGATTTTAGAATCATAGAACAGCTCAGGTTGGAGGGGACCTTGAAAGATCATCTCGTCCAACCATTTGTGGGAAAGGGAGCCTAGCACCCTCTCCAATTGCTTCTTGAAAACCTCCAGTGATTGGGACTCTACCACATGCTTGGGGAGGTTTTTCCAGGGATTGATCATCGTTACTGTAAAGAATTTCTTTCTTATGTTGAGATGAAACCTCTCCCAGTGTAACTTATACCTGATGTCCTTTGTCTTCTCCGTGTGGCTCCTTGTAAATAAAGAGCCTCCATCCTCTTTGTAGCTGCCCTTTAAGTACCATAATACTGTGATGAGTTCCCCTCTGAGCCTTTTCTTCCCTAGGGAGAAAAGACCTAATGCCTTTGGTCTTTCCTCATGGGACAGGTTCTCCTGCCCTCTGAACATCTTCGTGGCCCTCCTTTGAACCCTCTCCAATCTGTCCATGTCCTTCTTGAATTGTGGGGACCAGAACTGGACACAGTACTCCAGGCACAGCCTGACAAGTAGTCGGAGCTATTTCATTCCTCATTCTTGAGAGTTCCCTTCGCTGTGTACATTGAGGGCCAAATAGAATTTCATACAGTGAAAGCTTTTAAAATTGTAAGAAATAGTGTAATATGTTATTTAGTAGTTCTTAAAATACATACCATTATTCTCGGACACTCTTTTTCAACATTTTTCTGTGTATGGAATGCTTAAGGAAGTTTTTCTTCACATAGTTTTAATCACTAGAGTGTGGGCAAAGTTTAAAGTTGTAGGGAGAAAATAGTGAAATGTAGAAGACCTTGCTTCACAAAAGGTCCTGAGCCAGCTGTGAGTTTCAAGTGAAGACAATTCCTACTGAAGTCTGAAACCCATCATACCCTCTCACAGAGCTGGCTGTGAGATGAGAGCCCGCTGTTGTGTCAGCCTATATTGTAATTATGGTCAGCTTGCTGTGTTGGTCTGTATAAGCCAAATAAGTGCTGTGTGTGGGTATGTATTTTTGTTGGAAGATTTTTGTTTTTAAATGGCATATGTTTTTCAGGTGTTCATTTGTAAAAGAAATTGCTTTGAAGTAAGGACTTCAGAAAACTACAGAGTGAATCTGTCCATGTTTTGCAGAACATATTATGTCCTTAAGATTTTTTTATATGCTTGCCTTTACTGGTTGGCACTGGAATTGGTGATACACAGTCATCTTCACACGTATGTTCCATTTAATTTTGTAGGTATAATCCCCAGGGCAGAAATGTTCCTGATATGGTAGAAAATATTAAAATATGTGTAGCTTTTCATGTTTTTAACATGCTGTTGAGTTTTTGTTGCTGTCCATAACACTTGGCATTTCAACAAGAATAATAAGTTCGTAAGAGTGCTTACCTCATGGAAACTCTCTTATTTTAGTCCTGAGAGCTGTGAAGATATGAATCTACAGGAAATGAAGCACCTTGGGATTAATTTTTTTTCCTTTTGCGTATTGAGTTATAGATATTAATTCTTCCTGATTTTTTATTTGTATGCTTTTTATCAAGCTTTGAATTTAATAAATAAATCCATGTGACAAAGTAAGCAGATGGACCACAAAGTCAAGTTATGTGCACCCTCTAGAGGAAAAAAACCCCACCACTTGAATTTCTAAAGATCATAGGGGACAGGTCTTTGACACTACTCTGGCTATGCTTGGAGCTAAGATAAATCATGATGGATAAAAATATCCTTATCATATTTTGGCATTTTATTTTCAGTATGTATGATTTGTGGTATCATTCTAATATATTCTTTCTTTAAATCTGAACTTTCTGACAGCAAAAGAATTAGAAGTCTTTCCGATAAACTAGTAAAGCTTCAGAAGTACAACTCAAGACCTGAAATAAAATAAAATTAGCTTAACAGTTAGATCTCATTCTATATGGAGAAAAGGTTCTCATTGTATGTAATAATGGCAGTCACCAGAGGGCAATGTTCATCTTACTTTTTACATACCTGTTCACATTTGTGTGCTGTTCAGTCTGAAAAATGAGGCTGAAATGTTGTGCCTGTAATGAAATTTATTTTGTGTGGAGCAGTTGCAAGTAGTATGTAATTTTACCTTTCATTTTCTAACTGGGGTACATTGCAAGCGGGAAAAAAATATGAAGGATTTTGGTTAAAGCTCTCAAAGATAGATTGATTTGCTCAATTCATTTTGGTCAGCTTCCTAAGGAATGTTCTGTGTTTCAAAATAAATTGTGACTGCAAATTTTTTTTGGTCATGCAACAATTTCTCCTTCAATTAAAGCACATTTTGAAAAATTCCAATCTGCTCCTAAAGTAAAGATAATACCACCACAGAAAACAGTGTTCTAAAAAAAAAAGTGTTTAAAAAGATATTTTTTTTAAAGAATAAAACTCTCTTTACTTGCCTGTATTAGTGAAACAGATGGTACTGCCTAAAACAAAAACCAGAAGTACTTTTTGCATCGTATTTTTAAGTCACAGCAGTGTGTGCTCTGTTGTGTTTCAAGACTCCTGTGAAGAACTCTTGAGTACTGTTATAGCATACTAACAAGGAAAAAACCAATGAAGTACACATATGTAAACAAAGCCCCAAACTTCCTTCTATGCATGGATTTCAAACCAGTGGGTCTTGTGCAGTGCAAGTATTTTGAGTCCTGTGAGCCAGTTTTCAGTAGGAGTGTACGGACTCGCTAGTGTAAAATCCCATCAGTACAGGCAATCCATAAGGAACTATTTTAATTATGTTTATCTCCTGTAAGCAGAGAGGGACGTTCATAAACCTTTACATATCTTGTATTTTGATTTAAGGTCAGATCACCTGGTTCGGCTATGAAAGCCCTCGTAGTTTCTGGGACTACATTCGAGTAGCTTGCCGAAAAGTCTCTCACAATTGCATCTGCAGTATTGAGAACATGGAGAATGTCGGTTCTTCTAGAGCTAAGGTAGGGAAGAGAAAGGTCAAATTAACTTTTTTATTACATCGTTCTGTGTAAAAAAATAGCTGAGATTTCTGTACCCAGAAGAAAAACATTACTAAGCTTGCCCCACTAAATTTTTAACTGAAACAATTTTTTTTATATGTACCTAGTAAATATTTACTTTTAAAAAATCCACTTTAAATCTGAATGTGTTTCCTTTCAAATTTATGTTATTCAGTAGAATAAATCTCAAATTCTTTATTCAGTGAGCATGTTGTATTATAAAATTATTGCATTCACGTTTTTGAACTTACATCATTTTTTGAAAATGCAGTATGTTGAGGGAAATTAAGTTTATGCAGGCATGCCTAACAAATACTATTTTAAAATTGTAGAAATGTGATTTTTTTTTTCCCCTCCTAAGTGTAATTTTATTTTATATATAATTTATGCACTAGTAGAAAAGGTATGATCAACTCTTGAGTTTGGTATGATTGTGCAAGAAGCCTTTAATAGATTTATTTGCTAATAAAGATCTATAATTTTAAAGGATCTGTATAGAAATGACATCACAATTTCTGACTGTAGGTATGATGGAAATGTTAAGGAAGTAACAATTTAATGTGTTTAAATGCATATGAACTAAATAAGAATAAACTTTAAACTGACCTGTCATTAAATCTTAATAGTGTGAGCTGGTATAGACCAACATCTTAAAAAAAAAAAAACAAAAAACAAAACAAAACAGAAAAACCCAAAACAAACCAAAAAACACTGTTGGACAGAGTTCTTTTTACTAGATGGCAATGTTTTTCAATAGCTTGTATTTATGTGTAAAGCAGCCTTGATTGATAACTGAGAACCTTCTGACTTGCAAGTATAACTAGTATAAAAGGATGCACAAATTAATGTTCTTAATTCATTTTATTCCTAAATGAACTGGATCAGTTGTTTGAACAAATATCCAAAGTGTGTTCCATGGCTATTTTAAAAATCCTGTAGTTCCATATTTTTATTATATTCTGGATTATTCACAGTTGGTGTCATTGGTGAGGTGTAAATATTGAGTTTGTTATATACAAGAACTTAATAGATTTTTTCAGGGGCATGCATGTACAATTACAATTATGTACAATTTAATTTACACAACCCCAGTTTTCTTCAAAAAAAGATGATGCTTAGATCAAGCATCACGATGAATCTAGTAGATCTCTGAGCAGCCATTCTGACGATCCATATTATTGCAGAACAGTTTATTTGCTATGTCTACTGTTGCTCCTTTCTTCTTTTATATAGACTCAGTTTTAAATTTTCTGGAGTAAACATATCTGTAATTTGAGTGAAAGCTTTGAAACACTCGTGATTCCATGGCAAAAAGCTATTGACTGGTTTTCCTATCCAGAATATTACATGCTCTTCCTAGCACTCAATGTACTGGAGTAGTGAACTGATAATTTTAAGTCATGCTGCGTTTCTTTGTGCTTATGTTGAGATCTGGAAATTCAGATAATTTGGAGAATTTATTTCCAAATACTTTCTGGAGAGACTCATCATCTAGAATCTGATGACTGTATTGCTTATATTTGAGATTTATTTTAAAGGTATTTCTGAATTCCAAGATTTTAATACATATGAATATTTAAATTCAATAGATAATAAGATGCAAAGCTAGCTTCTGCAATACTCTTATAAATAAATTAATTTTTTCTTTACTTTGTGGAAAACTCCACGCCAAGTAGTAAACGAAGAAGCTAATTTGTGCAGCAAGTGTGGAGAGCGGTGCTGAATTTTTGAAGGTTAATGTGGGAGTATTTTTGGATGTCCATATCTGAAAGGTTGGGGAGGTGTCGACATAAATACCAGTGGTATGCATCAGTTTTACTGGTGGTCCAAATGGGTATCTGCTTCACCCTGGGATCTGTTAGTAAGGGATTGCCAGTGCTAGTTAGCCCTGCTTTCACTGAAGCTGTGTAGGCTTTCTTTAGTTGTCAGCTAAGCAGCTTTATCAGGGTTTGACTGTTTCACTCATGTTCTAAATAACTGCAATGTAAAGGCAGCTATCCAGATAATCAACTTCTCATTTTTAGTACACTCTATGTTAAAGTTTTTTCTGTGTTGTTGGTATTTATGAAAGTGAATTGTTTTGTTATTTAGCATCTGCCTATCTTATTATAAGTTCAGTTTGTTCTAGGTCTATATAAATTGAAAGTAGAATTACAATCTGCTACAGGAGGTTTTAGCAGAATGTCTGTAGTGATATTCAGCTGGATGTCAATAAGTACCAAATATATTAAGCAGAAAGACATCTTACTATTTATATAACTACTTGTAAGTTTATATGGATTACAAGAAGTGTTCCTGGTGGTCTCAAACTGACAATCGTAACTATGGCTGCCATTTGAAATGTCTCTTTCTTGTAAACTACAATCCTGTGCCCTAGACTTACAAACATAGTGCAACATACATTCCTAAAGGTTATTTTTGAAGCTATTGCTGTTCATGGAACTGTTTGAATGAAGTTTTGCTTTTAGATTACAAGTTTTAGGCCTCTTAGATTTTTATTTCCTTTGTGTATGTCATGTGCACCTTCTATAATGATGTCGTTACTGAGGGGAAAAAAATAATGCAAATAATAATGAAATTATAGTAAAAATACATGTCACTGAATTCTACAAAGTTTTTTTACTGGTCCCAAAAATATTTGAATGAACACAGAGACTTACTTCGTTCTTGCACTTCAAGGGTAGATTACTGCTGCTTTACAGTGGAACTGATTGTATGCTTCCACTACCATTGTCTTTAAAATGAAAAGGTTTCCGCCCTGATCTGCTACCACTTATGCACGTGAGATTTTCAAAAGACTGGGGTATATAAATAAAGCAAAATCCCCCTTCCCCCCCTTCCCCCTTCAAATTTTGGAGATCTTTATTTCACAATAAAATTTATTTGTAAGAATACATTTTCTGTTTTCATTATTACTACAATAAAGTACATCTTAGCAACAATTTCTGTTTAGTGGTAATTTTTGTTGTTTTGCCCAGGTAAATCACTTGTATGCATTTTCAGATGTAAAACTGTTTCATTCTATAATGCTTAAATATTTGATATCTGTTTCTTTTTGCAGGGTCGAGCCTGGATCAGAGTTGCACTTATGGAAAAGCATTTGTCTGAATATATTTCCACAGCTCTGAGAGACTTCAAAACAACAAGGTCTCTAAGACTTTTATTTTTGCAATATTCTAGCAAATGTTGCTTAAAGTGAGGGACTTAGATTTGAAAGTGAATGTTCCACTTGATTTCTGTAGGAAAGGATGTCATTATTAAAAGAGCTGTAACCCAGTAAAAGATATCTGGAGTTGGTATCAATTGCATTTTAGCATGGGTAAAACTGCAGAATTGAAAATCTCTTTGTGATTTTAAAAATGTAGAAACAAGTATGGAATTCCTGAAAGGTCAAAAGAGAAGAAAAGCTTTCTAAAGAAGGAACTAATTCTGAAACTGTAATGTGATAAGAGTAGAAGACATAATGTTCCTTTCAAAATTAAGTATAGTTGACAGAAAGCCCTAGAGACTTAGTAAAAAAAAATTTTTTATAGGAACTTTTTTTGAAGAAAAAAGGAAGAGAATTACAGGAAACTTTTGAGAAGTAGAGAAGAACAGAATTAGTGATCAAGCATAGCCAGTGGTCTTGATGTAATGTGAAAAATGTGTAACAGTTTTTTTGTTGGACCTTCTAACAGTAAAAGCTGTTATGGAAAAAATATGCTTTGTGATAGAAAATACTCTGTCAGTTTGTGATGGGTTAGCCCTTGGCTGGGGGCCAAACCACACACCCACTCATGCAATTTCCCCCCCCCACCCCCACGCGAGGACAGGGGAGAGAATTAAAGGGGTAAAGGGAAAAAAGGACTCGTGGGTTGAGATAAGAACAATTTAATAACTAAACTGCAATAATATTGAAAATAATACTATATACAAATATACAAATGAGTGATACACAGCAATACTGCCCCCCACCCGATGACCAAGCCTGTTCCCAGATAACGATCCCGGAGCAGGGAGGGTCCTGAAACACCACACTCACGGAACGGAGATAACAGTCCGAGCATCCCAGACCGAGAGCTGACTGGGGTGGGGGGGGAAGGCCTTGGGAGAGCGACCACCTGGAGCAAGATGACCCAGAGCCAAAGGGATCCGGAACCAAAAAAGGGCTGATCTTCCGGAGGGTCCTCACCTATATACTGGGCATGACGTGTATGTTATGGAATAGATTATTGGCCACTTTGGGTCTCAATCCTGAACCTAAAATCAAATCCTGGGCTAGTAACTGGGGCTGTGCTCCCTCCCAGATTCTCCTGCTTGCAGGCAGCCGGAGAAGCTGAAAGACCTTGGCAGCCGTGTAAACATCACTTTTTATCAGCTTTCTTCTGAGCACAAATCCAAAACACAGCCTCTTGCCAGCTATTATGAAGAAAATTAATTCTGTCTCAGCTTAACCCAGGACACAGTTTTAAGCTGGTTCCACATAATGTCATTATTATATGATGCTTCATCCTGTAACAAGTGTGTCTTGTAGATTTATGATGAAGTCATCTAAATATGAGACTGTAACATGTTGTGGTACCTTATGTTGAACTCTAAAGGTTTTAGGCGTACTGAATGGACTATTTAAACAATCAGACTTTTCTCTGTAAAGACTTCTGTTCATTTAGAGTACTATTTCTCTTTGTAATACTATTTGTCCACGGATCTCCATATATTTTGCCAATAGTAAGGTGACTTTGAAACATAACTAGGTAAACATCCCATTTCATTGAAGTTTCCAGATCTGTCATCTTTATTTTACCCAGATTTGCTTGCATTTACAGCAGGCAAGAAGGTTAAAACAAATATTTCAGGAAAATATTTACTCATGTAGCTGAAAAGTCAGTTGGGTTTTTGAGGGGTAAATGAGGAGAAAGAGGAGGGTCATAGACTATGTAATTAAGTAGTACATTTTTTGTCCCTATTTGGTATTGCAGTTTGTTTGCTAGTGGATAATGTTGGTATTATTTTATTAGCAGTTTCAAATTCATTTATTTGACCATGTTAATGTTTCATATATTTGAATGTTCTTTCAGTGGTATAGCTTTTGGAAACAACCTCTTTCGCATTCCAAACATAGTAAGCACAAAGTTTGTTTTGAAGTAATATTTTAAATACACCTAATGGAAATAAAAGTTACAGTTTCACATCTTGGTAGTGTGGATTTCAAATCCACTAGCAATAATGGACACATTCTCTTATACCATGTGGGATTTCAGATGGCCTGATTTTTTTGTTGATGCTTTGCACCATTTCCTTAGCATTTTAAATTATGTATTGTGCTACATGTGTATGTAGTAATTATTTATATAAATTATAAATATCATGTTACACATTTGTGTATGTAGAAAATGAGATTCCTCTATCATACTGCTAGCTCATTTTAAACATCACTGTTATGTTTAGGCGCCTGATTTTAGGGCTAATCCTTTAAAGAATCAGCACGTTATTAGTGCTGCATCTGCATGTTACACTTGGAAGGGGTTTTGACTAAGCATGGGCACACAATTATTTTTCTAACAAATTGATCAGCATAGACTCTTAAGTAGACTGTTCTGTTGTGAGATGTCAACTGCATAGCACTGAAAGAAGATTTGTGAGCTTTCCAAGGGGACTGTTGTTTTGGCTGGATTACTGTAGCTGGTTTAAGAAACATTGCTACTGTCAGGCTAACATCTGCATCTCACCATTATAAGTATGCCCTGTCTTTTTTGTGTGATTACTTCCTAGGCACCATTTTACAAGATAAACCGAACACAGTGCGGATTGGTACCTGGCAGTGATTTTACAAATGCCAGTGAAATGGTTTGTAATCAGGTTGTACTGGGAGCATTGTTGTTAGTTCACAAATAAGCGTTACTGCATCAAACTGTAAAGTCCATCTAGCTCAGCATTCTGTCTCAACCAGTGGCCAGTTTAGTCTCCTGGTACCCTTTCTGAAGTCAAGAGAGTAGAGAGCTAAGTCTGTACATCATAGCCTCAGTGTCAGGACTGTAATCTGTCTTCCCAGAGGAAGTCTTCCGTATTTCTTGCTTCCACTGAGAATATTCGAATTCTTGGACAACTCATTTCCTTACAGCAAATGGATGTCTGTTATGAAACTGCTAAAGTGGAGCTTCTGACAGTGTGCATTATAACACAGTTCAGTCTTTGGAGCTGTGCCCCAAAATGTGTCTCTTCTGGATGCTCACCATGCAGCCGACTTGCACTCTCACTGAGCCATCCCAATGCTTTCATGTGGTTCTTCAAACAGATGGACCTTTTGGTAGGGCAGTGCTGCTGGTACTTGTCTGAAAGACAGGTTGCATTCAATAGCCTGGCACCTTCTTGCTATCATATATTGCTAGAATGTATAGGTGAACTGTGCATCTCAGTTTCTGGTAAGTGACCTTTCAACCTTGTCTGTGGTACTGAACAGCTCTTGGTTTCCCTCTTTTCACATGTAACACACAGATGAATTCTGGTGACCTTTCTACCTCTGCTGCTGCCGAGACTCCTTTAGCTTAGAAATTAAAGTTGTGTGCTACTTTGCTAAACAAACCAAATGCCTTTTTTACAGGGCCATGCATAGCAATGATGGGTCCTATTCGCCTGCCCTATGCATGGAACATTTGTGTCTGCACGTAGCTTCTGTGGTAGCTGGGAGGAGAAAATTAGAATAAATGGGAGAGAATGGGGAGGTGATGAGGGAATACAGATTTTAAAATTGTTGCTTTATTGGTCACTGTTCTCAGGCAGCCTTCACAAGCCTGCATATACCAGGGTATGTGAAGTGTGTTTTGAGGTCAAGGCATGGAGTTTTAAAACTTTGTCCAATAGGTGTTTTACAATAAAAAGTAATGTTAAGAAAAGACTCCTTCAGATAATGAAACTTTTAAATCTCAAAGTAACTGGATGTGACATGCATCTTCCCATCATGCAGTATTTTAAGAAAAAGTATGTTACCTGGAAAAGAGCTCATTTGTAAAAATATTTTTTTAAAAATAACTAACTACTAAGAATTAAAAGTGAATGTTGAGCTTTACAACATCCTGCAAGTACAATTGTGAGAGAGAATTTTATTTTTCATATGAAGGAATATTTTTTTAATGTACATGACACACATTTTTCCTTTCAGCAGTAAAGTATAAGGTATCTTCATAATTTTATTTGTATTTTGTCCATCCTGTTCTACTGTTTATTATGGCTAATACTGTAAATTCTTCTTGCTCCTGTCTAAATTTTTATGTGCTTCAAGATTGTAGTGTTTTGTGCTGCGCTGTGCTGGTGTTTTGTGTGTTTATTAGTTTGCTTTATGTGAAATGAAATATGAATGCCCCTGGGGTTCACATGAATTGTTTTTATTTAAACTGGATTTCTTCAGTTTTCTGTTAACTATGAAAAACATTATTATTTGAGAGAAAATGGTATTAACTGAACTAATTTCTTTTTTATTGAAGGAGATTTTATGAGGATGGAGCAATTGTTCTTGGTGAAGAAGCAAATATGCTTGCTGGTATGCTGTTGGGACTCAATGCAATTGATTTCAGGTATTATATTTGCATACTTCATAAGAAAATGTTCAGGGAATGTACTTATAGATCAATGCATTATGGAAAACATTGTTAGATTCCCTTAATAGTTTGAGAGACAAAACTTAGGTGGGAGGAAAGAGGGGGAGGGAGAGAGAGATCTTGAATGACTCTTCTAGCTAAGAACAAAGTTATGCCATATTTTATATAGCTGCATGATTACATAGTATTTCTTTCAAGTATCAAAATCCTGAAAGCAATCAGAAGTAATTGCAGAAGATATATCAAAGATATTAAGCGAAGCTAACAGACAATTGTCTCTTTTAAAGTTATTTTTAAACTGTAAGGAAAACTGTGATTAAGGACATGGTTATGCCTTGGTATGTAATGACAGCATTGTATCTACGTAAATTTACCTTTGCAATCTCTAGCTAGAGTTTTGTGTGCTTTGTTATATAATTAATTCTGTGGTTTGGGGTAACAAAGGTTCAAGCGCGCCCTAGATAATATAAAATTTATAAACATCTTGGTGTGTATGTATGTGTGTATATGAAAACATCAGCAAGGTATAAAGAGCAGACTGCCCATGAAGAGATCAAACCTGGCTGGTGCAAGGCTCTGTTCATATGCCTGGTCAGGCCCACTTAGCCTTATACAGAGCCACTGGGGAAGGGTTTCGTAACACAGCACAGGGAAAAGGAGAGTGATAATGCTTTTCTCCAGTCTTCTGGCAATACACTATTAGTATTTACTCTGCAGCAGCATTAAGGCTTGTCACAAACCAGTTTAGGAGATAAACTGGCAGAAAACAGCACATAGTCTCACTGGATACACTGAATGATTGACTGTTGCCAAAACGCCTTTGGAGAATTTACTCCTGTTTATGTACCCTTATACCAGTTTTGAGGCTTGTTGGAGCCTTCTGTGAGCCAGCTTAATTTGTTAAAAAGTAAATAGAAAAATAGGATAATTCTTTTGTTGTTGGCTAGTTTAGTTCCTGGAGGCATCCTATTAGTGGCAGAGATTGTGGGACCATAAGGCTTAGAGAAGAAAAGGAATAAAAAGGGTTGAGAAGTGTCTTCCCTTTCTGGTGCCAGTGAGCCTTTAGTTCAGCTGCCTGTTGACCTGCAACTGGATGCTAAAGGGGAAAAAAACCTAAAAATTCAGGTCTTGACGGCTGAACTAGCTCAATGTGGAGTCAATGTTTGGTTGGGGTTTTAAAAATAAAATAAAAAAAAATAGAAAGAAAATATGGGGAAGGAGAGGTTGAAAACACAGGATAGCTTCTTTTGCCAGCATTTAGTCATTAGGTTGGCTTAACTGTGTCCTCAACATATGATCTGGGGGAATGGAAGTGTGCTGCAGCATGATAAGAGAGCTAGCCTTCTGTACAGCAAACTCAAATTTTACCAGATGTTATTAGTTGAAGCTTTACACTATGTGAAATTAAACTGCTTCTGTATTAACACTATTCTTGGAAGGACTATAGCTATACATGAATAAGAAGCATACAAAGAGTAGGCCTGCAATATGTAAATCCTTCCATAAATAATTGTCAGTTGACGGTGTCTGTCTTGTATAAGCCTCAGCAGTACATGCTACAAGTATGAGAGGTTAGTTGTATGACTGTGCTTGTTCTTCCTTTCCTGTATTTTCTAGTATAAGCATATTTATAGGTATCTGTAAATAGTATTCACGATAATGACTGGTTCTTGCTGGAGACATGTAAGTTTTTGTCAATGCAGTGTTTAAGAGCCTAGACATTTTCTGGGCGAAATAGGAACATAGTCCTACAGAAGCGTTATTATTGTGCCACATATAATTCATAGTATTGTGTTTTGAATGGCTGAGAAGCTGTAGCCATTCTTTGCATGTTATATTTGAGATTTTTTTTTTCGGTTCAGTCAAATGTTGGCTGGCTTATCTGTGTGGAACTGTAAATAAGACTTGGATAGAGATGGGGGGAGCTAGGTGAGAACAGAATATAAATTTTTCCCTCCCTCACAGCAATGTGGAATTGTGTATCTACTTAAAATACTTGTTTTGCAGGGGTGGTTTTTGTTGTTTTCTTTGCTTTCCTTAGGGGAAAAAAAAAAACCCTTCAGAGGTACTTCTTGGGAACTAGCACTAAGTGGTACTGCATTGTCAAAAATGGCACTTTTCAATTAAGTTAGAAAAAGCTGTGTCTTACTGGAATCTGTTTTGTGGTGGCAGAAAGAGGAGTGAGGAATGGACGCATAATTAACTTTGTCACTTCTATGATAATTAAACATGATTCAAGTACAATTTTTTATATCCAGTACAAAAAGAATACAGTGTAGAGGAGAGCTTTATAAAGGTACAGACATTTAAGAATATTTTCTGAAAGTTAGTTTCGTTAGTGTTCCTCATCTTCCTGCAGTCCAACAACAGAAAGTATCTGAAAGAAGGAGGAGTCTGAAATATTTCTGAAAACTGATTTTTGACTTAATATTAGTAGGATCGTTACAGGAGCACTCTGCAAACACTTTAAATGAGCTTACATACTGAAGATTCCAAGCTTGTCCATAGCTCTTCTGTTTCTCTTGCTTCAGCTAATGTTCCTTTTCCTGTTATTCCCTTGCAATTTATCTGTATTTTCAGAATAACAGCAAATATTTAAAATTAGGGTTTATACCACTTGCCTTGATCTATTCCTTGATTATGTGAAATTTCTGTTTGTTGGGGTTTTCATTATCCTATAATATACCCAGTGACTCTCATTTAATATTAAACAGTCTAGATCAGCTGAGGATTTCAGTGTTAAACGCTCTAGGCCTTTCCTATTACCAAAAATTTAAGAAAAATCAAATTTCACATTGCTAAGATTCAACTGTCATTGTCACTTAATTTTCTTGTTATAATCTTATAATTGCTTCTCTGTTTTATCAGTTTTTGTCTGAAGGGTGAGGGATTGGATGGCAGCTTTCCAGCTGTCATAGATTATACACCGTACTTGAAGTTCACTCAAAGGTACTTTTTATCTTTACACTGCTTTTAAAAATTGTATTTCATTGGCAAAACTTTACTTCATACTAAGCCTCTTACTTTTCATTTCGCATTCAAAATAATATTCATATCTAAATACAAACCTATACACTCAGCTACCTTGGTCTTTCAGACTGGTGGAATCACTACATGACTCATCAGAGTTAGTCATGCTAGCTTTGTTCACTTGCATTAAAATCACAGTTCAAAAAATTTTTTATTTCCTTTGAAGATCACCAGGCAAAGCTGTCCTTTCTCTTGGGCCTTTTCTGTGTAGCAATAAACTTTAAGGTAGTTTATTTATAAATAAATATGCCCTGGTAAATAGTAGGATGTAACAGATAAGGAGGACGTAATATGAGCAGTTAGCAAGTAATAGAAAATCATGACCAATTGCATGTGTAATCTGACCTTCCAGCTACATTTTGCTCCTCTGATTAGCCATATGATTGATAATAAAAAGAATGATCACTGTCTAACAGATCAGACAGCAATTTGTCATCTCCAAAAAGCACAGAAATTAATGGGATGTGTTATACTGTTACCTTTGCCAAAATGAAGAAGGCAGTTAGGATTTAGGAGTAGTCTTGAAGATTTACAACTGAACATGGAAAATGCTAGTTATTCTCTTGAAGTTCTTATTAGCTTACATGTTAATAACAAATTGCGTGGTTCGGTTAAAGCAGAGTTGGCATCACGGCAGGATCATGGTGTTGCAGGAATCACTATTTAAAAGCTAGTAAATGCTGTTAATGTAGTGGAAAGCATAGTTGTAAGGGAAGATTTGAAATGGGTATTGGGATAAATTAAAATTCTTGTCTTTGAGATAGATGTCTGAAATCTCTGGCACTGATGCTGGATGATACGGAGATATTTTAACAATGAATCTGCATACTATGTAGGGCGATATTTATGTTCTGTGAAATAACAGACATACAGTCTGCTGTAACCATAACTATACATTCTCATTTAAATTTATCATGATTTAACATAACGACAATCACTTTTTAGAAGCAAATACAATTTATATTCAGATAGTACTTTTTGCCCTGGATTTGCAAAGGAAAGATTAAGTCACCGCTATCCTTAGATAGCTTATTGTAATGCATTGTCCCTTTGTATTCCAGGAGAGTACCCCACATGTGGTTGTCTGAGTTGCCTAAGAGAACTTGACTAAGATCACAAGCAAATATTTGCCCATTCTTTAGGTGACTATGCTAATAAAAGCTCAAAATATAAGTTGCATTTGGTAATCTATCCTATGCCAACATTTTGACTCTTTTTGGTTTACAGAGCTTTAGATAACTTAAAAAACTGTGGTGCTTTAATCTCAAGGGGAATTTGCATTTTAACAAACAGAGATATTCACTTGGCTAATAAATATGATCCTTCAGTTCTGACAGCATCAGCAGTGATGAAGAAGAGCTAAGAACGCTGGGCAGTAGTGGCAGTGAAGGCAGTACTCCCGAGAACATTGGTCCTCCTTTCATCACAGATGAAAACAGTTGGTACAACAAATGCAAAAGGGTAGAACAGAAGTACCGGCTTGCCTTGGAACAGAAGGTAAAAGATTAGTTTTTTTGTGGGGGGTGATGGAGCCAAGGCTCATCATCAGCCAACCGATGATATATCCATTTAAGTAAAGGCAGAAAAAATATATTCAATATTATTTGGCTGAGTGTAAATGGTCTTAAATTTTATGATCCTTAGAGTATCTAACTATATTTGCTCATTGAAGGAAAAGAGGGTTGGAGGGATGGGGAAGTGAATAATAGTAATTCAGAGATCATGTTTCACAATGTGATGTAGAAGCTTTGGCTCCTTTTCCCAGTCTGAGCTATAGGCGGTGTATCTCTGAAGCTGTTAGCAAGCTTGAAAAGAACATGACTGTCCACGTGATTTATGTATTCCTTAGGGGTCACAGAATTTTACTCATGTAGGTAGACTGCCAGTTGAAGACTTTTATAGTGATAGTGATGTTAAACTTTAACATTTAGTCTTACAGTAAACAAAAATGATCAGCAATGTAATCCATCTAGGAATGAAAAGCAAAACTACCTTTGCAGTGATACTGAGATAGGATTTTAGAAAATATATAGGTTTAAGACCTGGTTCAAACTGGAATGGGAAAGGGGAAAAAAAAGAGTCTGTCTGTATTTGATTTTAATAATTTAGGTGGCATATTGAATGTTATTACAGAAAACAAAAGTAGGTTCTCCCTCTAAAGGTGAAGTAAAATATATGTCCAAACTTTTTTGTATTTTAGTATTTTTCAAAAAAAAAAGTTTGTCAGTTTTTTGTAACATCATGTTACAACTACAGAGGCAGCAGTGCATATTACCTAGTGGCAGAGAAAAAGGGCAAGGCTGTTCACAGACACTGAAGAAATAGTTCACAGAAAAAAAAAAGGAGGAGTCAGGAAAGATGGAAGGAAAAGAAAAATGGAAGACAAATAGTTGAAGGTTTTAAAGAACTTTATTAGCATTTTTAGTATTCTTTTTTTTCCTAATTTCAGAATTTGATTTTGGTGAGACTCTGAACACAGTAAACCATATGAAAGGCTGGAACTACATAAGGGTGCTTGGAGGTGTAATAATTTCCCTTAGTTTAGGGCATTAGAATTACAAGATTATCTCTCTGCCTTTCTAGTTTTTGCTGTACTGAGAAGAAAAAGATTAAAAAAAAAAAATAAAGAGAGCTGCAGATGTCATCTAAAATGGATCTTCTGCCAGTTGGGACTCAGTACATTAACTGTGGCCCAGGTCCTGGTACCAACTTAGTCACGTACATATTTAAATTCTAAGAATGATTGTTGGCATGGTTTTGTCCTGGGACAACTAGCACTCTCCCAAATTATTATAGGTCATGGTTTGTGAATTAGTGTTTGTCAGTGATCATTCAAAATAACCAGTATGACTTTAGACATGGTCCTTTGGAACTTGAGTTTTAGTATAGATGTAGCCAGACTGAGAGAATATATCTGAGTCCTGGCTATATTCAGTTCATTAGGGTAAATATAGCTAGGGATTGCTAAATGTCAGTCTTAATATGGAATGGGTAGAATCAAAGTTGGTTTACTTTAATGCATGTTTGAGAACCTAGTTAAAGTTTTTCTAAGTAACAGTGAAAAAGTTAGACTTACTGTGGGATGGTAGATGTGAGAGGTTTTTTTTAAAAAAATACGTATACAGTTATATTTCCTTAGTATTTTTGGTCCCTTTGGCTTCTTGTTTTTGAAATATAACCTTAAATGCTGGCATCCAGGTTGCTGGTATGACTTCTCAGCCCTGTGGTATCACTTTCCGTGTGGAAAGAACTCATGTTCCTTGGGAGGACACTTTCCCTCCTTTTGTAAAATCAAAATGTGCCATTCAAAAGGAATCTCTTCAAATACATAAACAAAATAAAAACCTTTCCCTCCCCAGCCCAACAATCTTTGAAGCACAGGAAAGTATTCAAGACAGCATTTCATCCTTGTCTTCAGACAAAAACATAACACCGGTTTGAAATCCACTCTTCTCTGCCCCCACTTCCTCACCCCCCACACCTCCCCAAAGACTGTAAAATATTTTTGGATTTAATGAGGAAAGTGTCATCAGCTCTGGAGAAGCATCGAAGAGAACAAAATAGGTGGCTGTTTATTTTTCTTGGTACATCCAGGTGGTTCATTTCCAAGGATACCCCATGAAGGATGCTCCATCAAAGTTGTAACAGACATCTAGAGAAACAGTATTGGAACATGGTGTCCAAATCCACTAGCCAGAATCACTGACAGGCTTCAGGTCTACAACAGCACAAAGATCTTCATTGGCTGCTGCAACAAATGGAGGTTTTGGTTTATTCACGATTCTCAGATCCAGAAACATTTCTATTTCATGGGAAGTTATTTGCTAATCTGATACTGAGTATTTCAAATTTTCGGGCATTGCTGTTTCAATGAGTCACATTATTCCTTGTAGCATTCTCTTAATGAACTGCCAGCTTCTGTAGTCAACTAATGTAGGGGTGAATTCAAGTCAGTTTTATGATAACTCTTTGAAAATTTTGGTGCATTTAATACAATTTTCAAAATAATAGCTACTCTTACAGCCGTTGACACTTTCCTAATTGGCCTCCTTTAGAATGCCTACTTAACAATTGCAGCAGCAAAATAACTTCTTTATTCCCATGGACAGAAAATTTTCCATTGTCTAATTTTCATTTGGGATGTGTCTGACAATTTTTTATTTAATTCACTTCAACTATCCTACATCTGTTCTGACCATTAAGAGGTTAAATGGACTATGGAATAAAGCTCCTTTCCTGAGTATTTCTCTCCTTCCCTTTTTGGGACCTCTTTCATGGCAATAAGTTGCAGAAACAATGGAGTTGCGCACAGTGCAGTAGCTGTCAGTTAATCAGAGACAGTGTTTTCTTTCAAACAATGGCGCTTTCTGACATTGTGTGTGTTGGAAAACTGGATGTTTGTGACAAGAAGTCCAAGTTGGAAATAATGCATTTTTGGTAACTGATACAGTGAGTCTGATAGATCCTTCTCTTGCTCACAAAAAATGATAAATTCCTTTTGTGCCTCCAAAGTTAATATGTGTACTGCAGTCATTAATAGCACAGATGAATGACGTCTACCAGGGTCACAATATGACAAGCAATTGGATTTCAGCTAAGATAGAGGTGTCTGTCTTCTGAGTTGTTTGAATGGTAGAATAGGGCCAGGTATTATTTTACCAAGGTAAATCCTAGCACTGCTTTATTGGATCAGCAATGCTACGCAGTTTAGACCACGAATCCTTGGTCATCCTGCTCTCCTATCTTGGATACTTGCCCAAAGTAGATGTGGAGGGAAGAATGAGAACAAAGCAAATGTATATGTTTTTCCTCTAATACGTTCTTGGCCAATGCATATCAGCTCAAGGACTTCCTGAAGCTGATAAGGATTGTCTGTTTAGTAACTCATGATGGATTTCTCTTCCAAATACTTGTCAAATATCCCCTTGACCCCATGTAAATTTTTAGCATCCAAACCAGTTTTTTGGCAAAGTATTTGCATATCTACCATCTGTTGTGTGAAAAGCCACCTCCTTTTCTGTCTTTTGAATTTGGCTCCTACTAGATTTATTTAGTAGTGCCTAGCTCTCGTATTTTAGAAAACGAACAGTTGCTTCTTTCCTGCCCTCTCCAGGCCACTCTGGAAATATGATGAGTTTGTCTTTTCCAAGTTGTCTCTTGTCCAGATTAACAACTCATAGTTTAAAGATTTGTTACTTATGTGGAAGTTATTCCTTCCCTATGGAATGGTGTAAACTGTTCAATTCTGTGCAGTAAACTCCTACATTCTTTGTGTACTGTTTATACTGGAGTTTTATGTTTTCACTGGTGGGATGATGCATCTTCATGTCATTATGGATGGAGGTATTTATGGTTCATAATATTCTGTTTCTGATACTGATGCTTCGTATCCAAAATAGTTTCGTAAAATGTTTGTTTGATGTTTCTGGGTGTCAGGAAATGTGTTGTGTTATGTTTTAATGCATCATTTAGTACTTTTCCAAGTGCTACTCAGAGCTCCAAGGACTACCTTAACAGTCAAGACAACAGTAACATTCGACAGGGCAGAACTAGGAATACTGAAAAGCTCTTAATAGACTAGACTAGACTATTTCAGTTGGAAGATTCCTTGAAACTTGTACTGGGACTAAAATCAATTCCTATTGAATATAAATATATCCAGTGGATAGAACTACATGTAATCACAGAATCACAGAATAGTTGTGGTCGGCTGGCACCTCTGAAGATTGTCTAGTCCAACTCCCCTGCTCAAAAAAGGTAGACTAAAGCAGGTTGCTCAGGACCTTGTTCAGTTGGGTTGTGGACATCTCAAGGACACAGATTTCCCAGCCTGTCTGGAGAACCCGTTCCAGTGTTCATTTAAAAAAAAAAAAAAAAAATTTAAAAAGTCTTTTACTACATTTAAATAGTTTCCTGTATTTCAATTTGTGCCTGTTGCCTCTTTTCATTGGATACCACTGGGAGGAGTCTGACTCCATCCTCTTTACACCCCCCTGTGTATTTTGATACACACTGATATGGTTCTCCTCCTCCCCCTTTAACCCCCATGCCCAGCCCTGGACTGAGCAATCCCAGCTCTTTCTGCCTCCTCTCCTATGAGAGATGCTCCAGACCCTTAATTGTCTTTGTGGTGATGAATTATATTAGGAGCATTTTACTGACCAGCTACGGTAAAACCTGTTCTGTGTCTGTGAAAACTACCTTTTTATTTTTTTTTTTTTAATGTGGGCACCTATGAAAGAGTTACACATTTTTCCACAGGCTTCAAGGAACGTGCAAAATTTTATGCAGTATAGACTTGTTGTATCCAGCTTTAACTAAGAATTGACAAGTTAGTAGTATCTGACAGGCTGGGGCTCTGCTTGAGAAGAAAAAAAATATAGCTGGTTAGTATTGTAACCAGATGTGTAATTTGTGAACGTACTTTGTGACCAGCCTGCCATCGCAGCTGCTGTTAAATACTCACATTGTGGATTTTTGTAAATTACTAAGTAGCCACAGCGTGAATAGGACTGCTCCATATCTTTTATAGTATCTGTACTGGAAACAATTCCAGTATCTAGCTGGAAAAACGATGACAGAAATGCACGTACACATTTCAGCTGTGCATGATGTTACTGAAAGAAGTGACCTTCACCAGTTGTCCTACCTTATTCTTCACTGTAGATGAATAAGATGAATATTTATTCCAATAACTTTATTCTTTGTTATTTTAATGTGTGATGTGATATTGCAGTTTTCAAAGAAACTTTAAAATAATGTTGGGGTTTTTAAAATAATAATTCTGGATCCCTTTCATTAATGATACAGATCCATATAGATAACATGTTCCTCTTGTCCTTACACAATATCTAACACCCTCTATCTGTTAAGTGGTAGAGTTCTGATCTTTTTCTTGTACTAGTGACTGTTCTATGTTGTTTTCAAAAAATTAATGTTTCATGCTGGTGACATTCCTGTCTCATTGTTTCATCCATTATTCTATTCCTCTGCAGGAATATAAATAAGTTTACTATTTTCTTGGTACCTATTAGGCAACACCATACTAATATTAAGTCAATTTACTAGTCTGTTTAAAAATAATTAAAAAAAAAAACTACAACAAAACCAAAGTAAAACTGGGTACATCTTAAACTAGAAAAATGTAAACGTAGTGAAAAGTTTTTTTGATAGTGTGTTCTTTAAGGCATTCTAACACTTATATTTCCAGGGTTACCTTGAAGAATTGGTACGACTCAGAGAAAACCAGCTATCTGAATCTGTCTCACAGAATAAACTTCTATTACAAAGAATTGAAGACATGGATCTAGCCCATAAAATGGAGAAGGAACAGCTGGAATATATCATTGTGGAACTGCAAGACCAGTTGTAAGTTAGTATAATGGAGAAACACTGTTAGAGCAGTACTACTTAATTTGTTTAACTTATTTAACTATATAATACAAATAAGTTCTGGTCCTGTGGAAGTGCTTCAAACTTCTTGAAGAAATTAATGCGTTTTAGCTTTTTTTTTTTCCTTACAAGTCTTATATTCAGAAATGGCTCTTCTGAAAACTGCAGTAGTGTAAGACAGAATAATTCTGAGATTCTTTCTTTTTTTTAGATCTGAAGTAGCTTACACTATACTTGCTTAAATTTTTAACACATTTTTATAAAATGTTCTTTATATTTTATTGCTTCCAGCTTTAAGGCTAACCTTAAAAGTATTGTTTTTAAAATGTTAGACAGGAGAGGATAAAAAAATATTTATTTTCTTTGTATAGATTCTATTTCATTTGAGTGGGGCTCAGACACACTAGAAGTTCATCTGGTAGTCCTGAAAATTCAACAGTGAAACAGTTTGCTACTCACCCTTTCTTCAATGCAAGGCAAAATGCTAAAACAATAAGAAAAGGCATAATTTTTTCAATATCTTATGTGACTCCTAACATGATAAATATTTGAGTATCTTATGGTCCTTACACAGTTTATCCTGCTAGCGCTCTCTGTTGGATAGGGGGGTACGGCTGTTTGGCAGAGACACTCTCTGGTAATGTTTAAAGACCCAGATAGATGGAAGACTTGCTGTGTGGTGATAAATTGCCACAAGACTGCTGTAGTATGCATCTGCAGTAATTTTATGTTCTGTTCATAACAAATACAAGAGAACTCATTTTACCTTATATCTGGAGTAATTTGTATGTGCCTGAGCCCTGAAGAAACAATCTGTGGCCTTCGAAACAATCCAGGATGAAGAGAATATTAAAACGGCTTTGTGGTAGTTTGGTTCCCTCTGCCTAATGTCTTACAGAAACAGCACCTGGAAAGGTCTTTTCTATGCAGTATAAAGTACTTCTTTTCTTTTTCTTACCCCTCTCTGTCTTGTGGTAGACAATTTTATTACCAGTGCTTGAAATTGATTTTATGAAAATGCTCAGGAATAGAGCATTTGCATTTTATTTATGCCAATTTCAGAGTTGAAGAAGATAAAAATATGTTTTTCTAAGTCTTTTTTTTTTCTTTTTCTGATTGTCTGTAAGCTTTTGAGAGATACCTGTTCTTGAGTTCTTTTCTGATATAGGTAATGATTCATGGTATACTGCTTTGGCCTCCTTGATTGCAGAGAGGGGGAGTTAGAACCAGCGCATTTAAACCCACTCTGATACTTGGAAATTTTGAACATTCAGACCTGCTGTTAATTTTTAGCTGAGCTTTATATGCAGTCAGACTGTTCTAAAGATCTCAGTCTTTGTGGTTTGATTTTGTTTACTGGCTTTCTTAGGTAAATGCTCAAAGTGTGGAGCAGTTTCTGTTGTATCTTGAGAGTGCGTTCTTGTATAGCTGTCTGAGTTACTGCAGTCAGGAGCCTGGACTGCACTAGATATGTGGAGAGAGAGCTATAATTTTGCATTGTTATTGCTGCGAGTGTAGCGTGCCTGTCAGATGAACTCTTCTTAATGTCTGTTAGGAACTCATAGGTCCTTACTGGGGAGAGGAAAGGGAAGAAATATTCCTAGCAAGTTTCTCATGGTGAACACCAATCATAATTAAAATCTTTTAGTTATTCTTTAATACTTGTTTTTTCCATCTTTATTTTTTTTTTTTT